GAGACCAGCGCCTGGGCAGCGAGACCTCATCTCTACAATAAATCAAAAAATCAGCTGGGTGTGGTAGCACGCGCCTGTAATTCCGGCTACTTGGAAGGCTGAGGCGGAAGGATCGCCAGAGCCCAGCAGGTCGAGGCTGCGGTGGCCGGGAGCGGCCACTGCACTCCAGTCTGGGCGACAGTGAGACTCCAACTCAAAAAATTAAAAAAAAAAAAATAAAATAAAATAAATAAATAAATACATGTGAGATTCACATTGGTTCAGCCTGAAAAGGCAGGATATCTCGAAGTGGAGTTTGCAGATCATAAATGGATTGAAATATTTCCTGATTGGCATTTGGTAGCAAGAGTTAGGCTCTGTCTAAGGAATTCTGAAATCAGTAAAGGAAATGCTAAGTTGGGATAAGGGGTTGAGAAGATTTAGTTTCTTGATATGCAGATGAAGCCTCCTGGGTGGCAGTCCTGAGAGAGACTAGAGTTTAGCTCCTCTGGGGATCCCCAGGAAGAGGATTCTATACAGATGCAAATTTCCCCAAGAGATGACTTTGCAAGGTCATAACATATTTTTTATTTCCATCTTTATCTGTGATGTGATGTCATGCCAGAGTCAGGTTGGAAAGTAAGACACATTCTATAGGGTTAATAAAAACCCATCTGATGAAACTTTGTGGGGTGTGACTTCCCAGGCCCCTTAGTTAGGAATTTGGCAAGAGATTAAAAAAAAAAAAAAAGGCCAGAGTTCAGTCCTCGGTTCTAGAACTCTGGATGAACTTTTGCACATAGTGAGAAACATGATTCACCCATCCACCTCATTCGGATTCATGCTTTTTAATTTGAAAACTTTATAAAAAGCAAATGTGCCAAAATGAATTGCAAAATGTACCAGTGAGTCAGCCCCATATTTAAGTTTTAGATAAAGGCTAAAAGCATCTGATGAGAAGGGCTCTGAAAGAGAGGTGGACCCAAAAGTTATGTGTGTGTGAGGAAAAGCAGGGCAGGTCTCCCGGCCACACAGACTCAATTGGATAACAGCACTGCTCTGGGAGGGTGCAGCCCAGGCTGTGCCACTGTGCACAATGCCCCTTGTGGACAAGGTCAAATTTATTTCCCTTTGGAGATGGAGTTGGAGCAGAAATCCAAATGGAGGCAAGGGACATTTTACATGACATCTAACATTCCCTGAACTTGGGTTGCTCTTACTGTAACACGTGAAGATAGGAAAGGCCCAGTACCATGATCTCTGGCCAACTCTCCCTAGTTTCTGTCACCCTGACTTCCCCTCTGACAGCTGCTCAGCCAGGCCCATGCTGAGTACCTTCCTGCTTGTCGATGACGCCCAGTGCACTGGCATCCCGGATGAACAGATGCCCGTTGTTAAAGATGCCGAACATGCCTGCATCAACATGGGTGAAGTAGAAGAAATAGTTCAAATCGTTGCTTCTCAGAGACTCCAGGACACCGAGGAGCTGGTAGGCGATGTCAGCTGCCTGGTCTGGGGGTGCACCATAGAACTCCTGCAGCGGTCTGGTGCTGGTGCTGACAAGGAATCTCCCACAGGAGCCCAGGTACTTGGGCAGCGGCCATCCTTCAGCACCAGGGAAGATCTGCCAAGCCAGAAGGAGGAGACATTAGAGGATTAGAGAGAAAAACCTTGTGGCGACAGAGCTCGCTTTCTCTCTCTCTCTCCCTCTCTCCCTCTCTCTCTCTCTCTCAAAGCAAGCACAGAAAGATCAACCTTACATCCTCCATCTCAAGACACATCAGCAAGGTGTCTCCCAACCATTTTTATACTTCTTGGAACATAGCAATATCCCTGTCCCTCGTCCTCCCCACTTTTTTCCCTCTATTGTTGTGGATGGAAAAATTCAAAAAAAGAGCCGGGCTCGGTGGCTCATCCTGTAATCCCGCGCCTTTTG